TATTTACGATTGCTGTGTCTTGCTGATGGATGGTTTCCTAAAGCGCCATGAAGTGGCCTTCTGTCCCTTCTGATTCTTTGGCTTGACGTCCATTTTATCTGATATGAGGATGGAAGCCCCTAGTCATTTACGGATCCATGTGAGTGATACGTTTTCTGCCATTCTTCCGCCTTCATGTGGCCTGCCTCTTAAGGACCAATTTCTTAGGAGTTTCAAGTCCCAGAAGGGGACCTGCAGGGCTGTAGGCTCTGTCAGTCTGGACTTCGGCTTCCGGGGGTGGTCTCCTCCAGGATACCTTCTGACTTCCCTTCCTCAGGCGGGTCAAGACCTGCCACCTCAGTCACCATGACGTTCTTTCGTGTTGGTAATTATTGCACAATATTTATCTCCACCGGAGTCTCAGCCCTGAGAACAGCACCTGATTTGTCCTGTCACTTCTGTGGCTTCTGACCAAGCGCAGGGACTGGGTCAGTGTTTATTGAGCCTCTGTTGAGTGCCAGGCCCAGATGTCGGAGTTGGGGACAGGGCAGGGAGTAAGACAGATGACTCCCTGTCCTTGTGGGGGGCTAAGCCTTGGACCCCAAGACCTGTTCGCTGAGCAACTATTTGTGTCTTGGATTGCCTGTGAAAGAACAGCAATTTTCTTTTTTCTTTTCTTTTTTTTTTAAAAACATCTTATTTTACCTTCATTTACTTCTGGTTATTTTATTTTTAAGCTGATTCTCTTCTGTTCCCCTCTCTCTGAGCCCTCCCTCTCAGTTTCCAAATTCTAAATGTCACAGTTATAACTCTTGAGTGTTTATTTGTTTTTTGTTTGTTTTTGGTGGAGGAATAGTTATCTTAAATGTGAACCAATGTGAATTAGCAACCTTCATGGAAGGGTCCAGATTGCCCATCAGAAAAATCCAGACAAGGCCGGGCACAGTGGCCCATGCCTGCAATCCCAACCACTCAGGAGGCTGAGGCAGGAGGATCACAAGTTCGAGGCCAGCTGCAGCAACTTTGTGAGACCTTGTCTCAAAATAAAAAATAAAAGGGCTGGGCATGCAGCTCAGGGGCAGAGCCCCGGGGTCAATTCCCAACATAACAAAAAGGCAGAACCTACCATGGAGACCCTGCAAGGCCCTGTAGCCGCAGGCAGCTGCCAGTTGAGCGGGTCTTGGCGCCAGGCCCTGCAGAGGGCTTAGGAAGGAAGATCCTCACCCAGATTCTCACGGGAACCCTGGGGGGCGGGGCTTGAACACCCCAGTTTTACAGATGGAGGAATTTAGGCTGGAAGAAGCTTCCCCCAGCTGGCAAGGGACAGAGCTGGCCGGAAGCCCCTGTTGAGTGGTTCCCAGGCGCCACGCTCTGTGGTTCCCCCAGAGAAGCAGCGAGGCCATTTCCCACCTGGAGTCGTGCGTGGAGCTGGTGTGGGATGACACGCGTGTCGTGGGAGGCCTTCCTTGATGGCTTCTTACGTGAAGTCCCTGGACTGTCCCTGTCCAAGGAACTGCTTCCACTGGGGACCCCTTCCTCACGGTCACCTGACAGTGTTCCCTAGTTCCTGGGTGGGGACAGGCAGAGGGAGCCAGGCAGCTCTTGCCCCTTGATGTGGGTCACATGCCCTTGCCTTGCCTCACCTCCGGTGTCAGGGCCTCCTGTAATTACACAGACCTCACGGTGTTTATTTGCCAAGCTCTGATCTGAGTTTCCTGTGTCCCTGTGCTCGGTGCTCTACAAACACTCTTTGATCCTCAGAACAACCTGGAAGGTGGGGACCATTATTATCCTCGTTTTAAAGCTGGGAAATGGCACAGAGAGGTTAAGTGACTTGCCCAAGGTCACACACCACGGAGTCAGGATTTGAACCCCTCTGGTCTATGTTTCTGTGTGCTGCCTGGCATAGCAGGGCCATCCTTCCTGTCCCTGTTTTCATTAAAATGAGAAAAAAGGGCTGGGGCGCTGCTCTAGGCACTCCTGGTTAGAGCACTTCCTAGCAGCACAGGCCCTGCCTGGTTCTGTCCTGGACCAGGCACACTCAAGGCCCCGAGGGCTCATTGAGGGAGGGAAAATGTATCACTGTAAAGGGAGAAAGTGAAGACTATTCTCATATTTAAAATGCTTTAAAATTTCTTTGGTGATATACATAGATATAAAGATATATCCCCCGCCCCCCCCCCCGGGCTGGGGATGAACCCAGAGCCTCACACATGCCAGGCAACTGCTCTACCACTGAGCCTCATCCCCATCGCTTTTTTTTTTTTTTTTAAATATATATTTTATTTAGAGACAGGGTCTCACTGAGTTGCTTAGGGGCTCTCTGAGTTGCTGAGGCTGGCTTTGAACTTGCTATCCTTCTCCTCAGCCTCCTAAGCTGCTGAGATTACAGGCGTGCACCGCTGCACCCAGCTCCCAGCTATTTTTTATTGATTAATTTTAGAGGATTATTTACTCCATTTTATAATGAAAAATTTCGAACATATGGGTATAAGTCAGAATAATGGCCCGAGAGCCCCCCTTGTAGGCAGGGCATTTCAGTCACTCTTATACATTCTAGGAAAATACTTTCTTTTTTTTTTTTTCTTTTTTTAACATCTTATTTTACTTTCATTTACTTCTCTTTTTTAAATATTTATTTATTTAAGGTGTAGATGGACACAACACAATGCCTTTATTTTTATGTGGTGCTGAGGATCGAACCCGGGTCCCACCCGAACTAGGCAAGCACTACCGCTGAGCCACAATCCCAGCCCAACTTCTCTTTATTTTATCTTTATGTGGTGCTGGGGATGGAACCCAGTGCCTCATGCGTGCTAGGCCAGCAATCTACCACTGACCACAATCCTAGCCCCTAGGAAAAGATTTTCTATACAACCACAATTTGATTTTCACACCTAAGAGTATTGACAGTAATTTCCATAATCATATATAATCTAGTTGTGTCTTATGAAATATTTATTTGATCTTCCTCTGATTCCTGGCAAACAATTCCTAAAATCCTCAGACTTTCCCAAGTCATAGTGTCTTATTCCATGTGAAAGAGCTGACTTGCTGGGTACGGTGGCCCAGGCCTGTGATCCCAGCAATTTAGGAGGCTGAGGCTGGAGGATTGTAAATTAGAGGCCAGTCTCATCAATTTAGCAAGACCCTGTCTCAAAATAAAAATAAAGAAGGGGGGGCTGGGGTTGTGGCTCAGCGGTAGTGCACTTGCCTGGCATGTATGAGGCACTGGGTTCAATTCTTAGCACTACGTAAAAATAAATAAAGGTCTATCAACAACTAAAAAATAAATAAATAAAATAAAGAAGGGCCAGGGATGCGACTCAGTGGTAGAGTGTCCCGTACTGAAAGAAAGAAAGGAAATAAAGGACTGTTGTTGGTCAGTAGACCCCAGGCTTCAGGTTTGGGGACTGGTCACCAGAAAGACCCAGGCAGGATTAGAAGGTTGGGACTTTCAGCCCCACCCCCACCTCCATGGATGGGGGAGGGGCAGAGCTGATAAACAACAGTCAATGATGTCATTCATTGTGCCTAAGCAATGAGACTCCCATAAACCTGAGCTTCCTGACTGCTGAACTTGGAGGGTCCCAGAGGGTGGCGCTTCCCCAGAGCTGTGGAGACTACACCCATCCCCCAGGCCTCCCCCTAAGCTCCTCTTCTTCGGAATCCTTGGAATCCTTCGAAATCGCTGTCAGAGTAAACCGCGCTCCTTTCTCTGAGTTCTGTGAGCCAGTTGAACAAATGAACGGAGCCCAGGTACAGTGGCACACATCTGTGGTCCCAGTGAGCTCCTGGTTCAAAATTTTAAAAAAGCCAGCTTGGCACAGGTAATCCCGGAGAGGCTGAGGCTGAGGCAGAGGCAGGAGGATTGCTAGTTTGTTGGTGAGACCCTGTCTTGGGGAAAAAAAAAAAAAATTAATAGGGCTAGAGATGTAGCTCAGTGGTAAAGAGCCCCTGAATTAAATTCCTGAAGCCACAAAATAAAACAAACTTAAAAAAGAAAAAGAAACACAGCTGGGCATCTGGGTGCAGTGATGCATGCCTGTAATTCCAGCCACTCCCGAGGCTGAGACAGGAGGATCATGGATTTGAGGCCAGCCTCAGCAATTTAGTGAAGCCCTAAAAACTTAGCAAGACCCCGTCTCAAAACGAAAAATAAAAAGGGCTGGGGATGTGGCTCAGTGGTAAAGTGCCCGTGGGTCTAGTCCCCAGTACAAAAAAAAAAGTTGCCTTTGTTTTTGTTTGAGACAGGGTCTCACTACATTATGGAGACGGGCCTTGAACTTGATCCTCCTGCCTCAGCCTCCTGAGGTGCTGGGGCTGCAGGTGTGTACACCGTGTCTGTGCAAAAACAATTTAGTGGAACCTGAGAAGGGGACTGTGGTGATCCCAATCTACAGCAAATGAGTCAGGGGTACAGAAGAAACAGCAGGGCGTACGGGTGGCATCTGAAGGCGACAGAGAGGGATCTTGGGAATGAACCCAGGACCTGTGGGACCACATGCTGTGTTCAGGCCACAGTGTCAGAGCTGAGTGGGGGGCTCCCTACTGGTGTCTGTTGCTGCAGAGTTGATGGTGGCTTGATGTGGCAGGGGGACGGGGAGGACCCATCCATGCCTGTTGTGGCCAGGCGCAGTGGCACACGCCTGTAATCCCAGCAGTTTAGGAGGCTGAGGCAGGAGGATTGCGAGTTCAAAGCCAGCCTCGGTAACTTAGTAAGGCCCTAAGCAACTCAGCAAGACCCTATCTTTAAATAAAATCTAAAACTGAGTTGAATTCCTGGTACCAAAAAAAAGACAAACGTGAGTGTGTAGTGGGAGAAACTGGTCACAGCATGTGTCTGCTGCTCACTAGTTCAGACCCCAATTCCCCTAACTTTCCTCAGAAAGTAACTGGCTTCTTTGGCAGAAGAGCCTCCTCCGTCCCACTGGGGCCAGTCTCCCCCTGCGTACCCCGGCCGAGCCTGGCTGGAGGTCCTGGTCCCTCGTCTACCTGATCTGTCCCCCTCCTCTCCCCAGGAGCCCAGGATGTGCGGGTTCAGGTGCTGCCAGAGGTGCGGGGCCACCTGGGAGGCACCGTGGAGCTGCCGTGCCACCTGCTGCCACCCACCTCGGAAGTGCGCATCTCTCAGGTGACCTGGCAGCGCCTGGATGCAGCGGCCGTGGCAGCCTTCCACCCCTCCTACGGCGTCCACTACCCCAGCCCGCAGTCCAGCAAGGAGCGACTGTCCTTCGTCAGAGCTGGGCAAGGCACAAAGGCAGACCTGTGGGATGCCACGCTGGCCTTCCAGGGACTGATGGTGGAGGACGAGGGCAACTACACCTGCGAGTTCGCCACCTTCCCCAACGGCACGCGCCGGGGGGTGACCTGGCTGAAAGTCATAGGTGAGCTGCGCGGGGTGCGACTGGAGCAATCCCCCACCTGTCTGTTTTCTCTCTGTCTCAGCTGGTAACTTTCCTGCCATACTCAGTCAGTCGACAGATGCCCAAGGAGCACCTACTGTGTGCCCGATGCTTTTCCACATGCCAAGGATACCACAGCCAACAAGGCATTCTTCCAGCAAACACTTAGTGAGCATCTACTATGCCCAGGCACCCTCCTGGGCTCTGGGGAGAAAGCAGTTAAGACAGGACTCCCTGTGCTGTAAGGGCTCCCACTCCAGACGGGGGCGCCAGCGAGTAAACCATAGAACAAAACTAAGAGAGTAAGTCAGGCCCCGGGCAGTGGCACCTGCCTGTAATCCCAGCAGTTTGGGAGGCTGAGACAGGAGGATGGTGGGTTCAAAGTCAGCCTCAGCAACTCACCAAGGCCCTAAGCAACTTAGAGAGATCCTGTCTCAAAATAAAAAAAATAATAAAAATAAAAAGGGCTGTGGATGTGGCTCAGTGGTTAAGTGTCTCTGGGTTCAATCCCTGGTACAAAAAAAAAAAAAAAAAACGCTCCCAGACTCTGACTCCAGCGGGAGGGACCTGGGGAGGCGGCTGGTCAAGGGCTGCTCTTTCTCACTGAATCTTGGAAATCCCCCAGGATGCCACCTTCCCTCAGCAACTTTCTGAAGCCACGTCACTCTGGATGCTTTATTTTCCCCTTCTCAGCCCCAGAGAATTGGAAGCCACCCTCTCCCCTCCCTGGGTAGTGCTTCCCTCTGCAAGGAGCCCTAAATCACTGTTTCCATAATTCGGGCAGCTCTGCTCCCGCCCCGGTGGAAGTCCCTCTTCTTGTGCAATCATTTCTTCTGTCCGCGAGAAATACTGCAGTAGCCAGGCTCAGGAGGCTGAGGCAGGAGGATCTCGAGTTTAAAGCCAGCCTCAGCAACAGTGAGGCACTAAGCAACTCAGGGAGACCCTGTCTCTAAATAAAATGCAAAATAGGGCTGGGGATGGGACTCAGTGGTCGAGGGCCCCTGAGTGCAATCCCTGGTACCAAAAGAAAAGAGAGAGAGAGATTCCAAGGGCCTGGTAGCTAGTAGGGGCCTTGCCTAGCTTGCACTTGGCCCTCAGTTTCATCCCAGCACTGCAAAATTAATTAGCTAGTTAATTAATTAATAATAAAGGGGGCGCTGGGGTTGTGGCTCAGCGGTAGAGCGCTCACCTAGCACATGCGAGATGCTGGGCTCCATCCTCAGCACCACATAAAAATAAATAAATAAAGGTATGTGTCCATCTACAACTAAAAATAATAATGGTAATAATGATGAAGGAGCGCCCCGGGGACACTCCCTAGGCACAAGGCAATATGGGAACAAAGAATGAAGCAGCCAGGCCCTCCCTCGCGGAAAAGCAGGTGACACATGAGCCACCATGAAGGGAAAGGCAGACAGGTCAGAGAAGTTCCCTCGAGGAAGGGAGGCCTGGGCTGGTATCCACCACCCGGAAGTGGGCAGGTGTGGGGACCGAGGGGTGGCGGGTGGGGAGTTCCTGGAACCCTCAACTGAGGCAGCCCCAGCTGGGCTCCCTGAGCCACGAGTCTCCCAGGGGGAGGTGGAAGCTTTGGGCTCCCGAGGGTCCCAGGGACCCTCCACAGACTGGGGTGGGAGGGCAGTCGGGAGGCGGCAGGAGGACCCAATGGATGGGACAGTCAGGGCTGCTGGGGCCCCTCAGTGGGTGCCAGTGGCTCTCCTCTTGGAGGCCTCCTTCCCTCTCCTCCCTTCTTCCTTCCTTCAACCTGGACATGTCGATCTCTGATCCACCAACAGTCCACCGGGGAGGGGACTCCCTTGTTATCCCCATCTGACCTGACAAGAAACTGAGACACAGCAAGGTGCCTGTCCCCAGCCCCCGCCTGTGAGCGGCAGAGCTGGGACTGGAACCGCCAGCATCCGCAGTGACGCGCTCTGCTCCTCTCCCCAGCTGAGCCTCAGAACCGCGCTGAAGCCCAGGAGGTGACGTTCAGCCTGGAGCCCATGCCCGTGGCCCGCTGCGTCTCCTCGGGGGGCCGCCCGCCTGCCCGGATCACCTGGATCTCCACCCTGGAAGGGGAGGCCAGAGAGAGCCAGGAGCCGGGGCCCTTGCCAGGCACAGTCACGGTCACCAGCCGCTACACTTCGGTGCCCTTGGGCCAAGTGGATGGGGTCACGATCACTTGTAAAGTGGAGCATGAGACCTTGAAGGAGCCAGTCCTGCTGCCCGTGAAGCTCTCCGTGCGCTGTGAGTGCACCTGAGGGGACCCTGCCCCCCAACACCGTCTACACTGCTTGCGTTGGTTCCCTTGACCTAGTCCTGCGCTGCCCTCCTGCCCACTGTCTGTACTGGCTCCTGGAAGCAGCTTCTTGTGTCCACACTGACTTCACAGGGCTCTTGCCATGTAGCCCCCATCGTCAGCTGAGGTGGGCGTGGAGGGGAATTTCCTCCCAGTTCTGCATCCAGTGACGTCTGATTGGTAGTAAGATCAGCCTTGGGGTTATACACAAGGAAGCTGTCAAATATGTTGGGGTTTTTCTTTCTCCACTGCAGAGATCTGGGGTTTTTATTTGTTTGGGGGGTACCAGGGATTGAGCTCAGGGGCCCTCGACCACTGAGCCACATCCCCAGCCCTATTTTGTATTTTATTTTGGGACAGGGTCCCACTGAGTTGTGTAGGGCCTTGCTAAATTGCTGAGACTGGCCTTGAACTTGGTATCCTCCTACTTCAGCCTTCTGAGGTCCTGGGATCACAGGTGTGTGCCACCATGCCTGCCCAGAGATCTGGTTTTTAGCATTCAGCTACTCCCAACATCACCCAGTGCCCTGACTGTCCTTCCCTTGCCCTGGGCCATGGTCTACGCTGTCCTCCCAACAGTGTCTACCCTGTTTCCCACACTGTTGAGGTCGTCTCCCAGGGGACACTGTCTAGAGTGACTCGCAGGGATGTCTGCGCAGACTCCTGCTCCCCAGCATTGTTTACGTTGGCCTCTTTGGGCTGTTGGTTCTGACCCTTCCCAATGTGTTTGTTCTAGGATGGTTCCTCCAGAAACTGCCCACGATGATACCCCAAAATGTCACCCAGAGAGGCACCTTCAGCACTCTTCACAGACCCTGGCAGATACTAACTATACCAAGAGTCTGCTCACTGTCCACACCCACCCCATGCCCTGCTCACTTTAGATATGCCAGCTGGCCAGGCCATGCCTGCATTTACACTGGCTCCCCAACCTGGTCTATACTGGCTCCCTGGGGCCACCGTCATCTGCACAACATGGGCACAGGCTTCCCCGAGCCTCGTCTATACCAGTCTTCCCACTGTCTACGCGGGCGGGCAGGCACTGTTTGCCATCTCCCTCCCATGTTGTCCACTCTGGGCATGTGAGAAATAACATACCTGGGCTGGGATACAGCTCATTTGGTTGAGTGCTTGCCTTTGCATGCACAAGGCCCTGGGTTCAATCCCCAGCACCACAAAAACAAACAAACAACAACAACAACAACAACAAAAAAACATCACATACAGCTGGGTGCAGTATGTAATTCTAGCTACTTGGGAGGCTGAGGCAGGAGGATCACAAGATTGAGGCCAGTCTCAGCAACTTAGAAAGACCCTGTCTCAAAATTAAAATAGAGACTGGGGCAATGGTAGCCCAATGGGGGGCAGGGAGAGGTAGTGCACATACCACACACAAGTTATCCGTAGTGGTTCCTTGGACGCCAGCAGCCCTGAATAATAATGTCCTCAAAGTTTCCTACAGTGTCCTTAGCGGAGACAGCCCAGGCACCCACTGTGTCACCTGGTGGGCTCCTTGCTACCACTTCTTTTCTAGGATTCCTGTCTAGTAGCTAATCTGTCCACCGCTCTGGGATCATGCCTGTCTCTGAGCCAGTGCCCCATTTCCTCCAGACCCCCCCGAGGTCTCCATCTCTGGCTACGATGACAACTGGTACCTCGGCCGTAGTGAGGCCACCCTGATGTGCAATGTCCGCAGCAACCCAGAGCCCACTGGCTACGACTGGAGCACGTGAGTGAGAGGACCCAGAACTGGGCTGCGGGAGGCGGGCTGGGCCGGGACCCTGGGCCTGAGGGAGGAGGGCTCTGCAGTCGACTCCTCGGTCTGAGGGTTGAGGAGGCTAGAGTTTGGGCTCCTGGGTTTGTCTGGGGAGGAGGACTGGAGCCTCCACTCCTTTGAGGGAGGAGGGCTGGGCCAGGACCCTGGGTCTGAGGGAGGAGGCTGGGCAGTCGGGGTCCGGGTTAAGCCCGATCACTGGAACCTGGGTCTTCAGGACAGGCCTGTGCTCCCGGTGGACCCTGCCACGCCCCTTACCTGACCTTCCACCCCCAGGATTTCGGGCACCTTCCCAGCCTCGGCTGTTGTCCAGGGCCCCCAGCTGCTGGTCCACTCAGTGGACCGACTGGTCAATACCACCTTCATCTGCACCGTCACCAACGCTGTGGGCACAGGCCGCGCCGAGCAGCTCGTCTTAGTCCGAGGTAAGTGGGTCTTGTTGCTGGGTGTGAAGACCCCCATCTGCTTCTGTCGTTTCTCCCAGGTTTGGGGCCACTTTGGGCGAGGCCGTGCTGCCGCCCTGGCAGGATGGGGTACAGACACGGCTCGCTGACCTGTGGGCGCTGCCCTGTGGGCCTTCGGCTAGGATCTGGCCTTGAGGTGCCACAGAGGTGTGAACAGCGTGAGGAGGTCGAGGCCTGGGCAGGGCCTTGCAGGAAGCTACTCCAGGCCAGCTCGGGAAGGCACAGCCCCGACACAGTGAGGCCAGAAACAGAAACCCAGGGCCGCTGCGCCACTAGGAACGCAGACAGGCCCCAGACGCGGGCCAGAGGGGAGAAGCAGGAGCCCGGGCCCAGGATAGAGACAGGGCCACATTATCACTGTCTAGCCGCACACTTGGGGGCAGGCGGGACTGTCACATGCCTGGAGACAGCCACATGGGCGCCCACAGCCGAGAACAGAGTACCTCCTGTCAGGAGCATGGCCAGCAGGGTCTGCACACAGGGGACACTGTGGCTGGGAGTTCTGGGGCAGGGAAGAGGAGAAATTCAGACAGACACCAGCCTGGGTGTCACCCCACACACCAGACCTATTGTCACCAAGACACTCTGGAGAGAGCAGTGGCACCAGCCAAGACACACTGAATAAGGCCAGTGACACTGGTCAGAGCCCTTGAGACTTTGCACATGCCTAGAAAGAGCCACTCTTAGAAGCACCTCATGGATGACTGTCCCTGCAGCTTGACTGTGCAGACACTCATTTCGGGAAGTGTTAGGTGGCCCTAACAGGGAAGCAGAGACCCCCTAGAAACACAACCAAAGATAGAGGGACCTACTCCCAAGCACGGCCTGTCCCTATGGCACAGACACAGCCAGAGACAGACCCCTACCTGCCTGTGCAGAGAGTCCAGACGCTGGCCTGGGAGATGGGCCGGCTGCCTTAGGATCACTGTCACACGCGACAGACCCCGAGGGACAGTGGGCCTCGCTCAGCACACCATCATACCTGGAAGGAGACACACACCACAGGACAGCAGTCTACATGCAAAAACCTCAGACGTGGGTGCCCCGAAGACACCATGGATGTCCTGGGAGGCACCTGCTCCCTAAAACTATCCAGAAACTCAGTTATGAAGAGTCTTTTTTTTTTTTAAAAAAGAGAGAATTTTAATATTTATTTTTTAGTTTTCGGCGGACACAACATCTTTGTTTGTATGTGGTGCTGAGAATCGAACCCGGGCCGCACGCATGCCAGGCGAGCGCGCTACCACTTGAGCCACATCCCCAGCCCATGAAGAGTCTTTTATTCACTTATTTATTTTAAAAATTTTTAAATTTTTAAAAATATTTTCTTTTTAGTTGTAGATGGACACAATACCTTTATTTATTTATTTTTATGTGGTGCTGAGGATCGAACCCAGGGCCTCACATGTGTGAGGTAGGCGCTCTGCCACTGAGCCCTGCCCCAGCCCTTTCTTTTTTTTTTTTTTGGTACTGATGATTGAACCCAGGGGTATTATGTCACTGAGCCACATCCCGTGTCCTTTTTATCTTTTATTTTGAGACAGGGTCTCACTAACTTGTTGAGGCTGGTCTTGAACTTGCCATCCTCAGCCTCCCGAGTAACTGGGACCACAGGCATGTGCCACTGTGCCCCACTAGAGATTCTCATTTGATAGGTCATCCTCTGGCAAATATTTGCTGAGGTCGCCTGTTTGCCAGGAGTTCTCGTTGATGTTGGGGGTACAGTGGTGACATCAGAGGTGCCATCCCTGCCTAAGAGGCATGCCTAGAGGAGACCAAGCTGGAACATACCCAGCACCTCTACCCTGAGAAACGCCCTAGAAACTGATGTCCCTGCCCACCCTCAGGAGGCACAGGCTCACTTAGGAAGAGTCTGCCATACATGGGGACACCCTGCCCACACAGATCATCGTCAGGAGGAACGCTAGGCATTTCTTCATTCCCCCAAGGGCAGCCACAGACCATGATAGTTAACCTCTTCATAAGGATATGCTCCCAAAGATGGCTGCCAGCAGAAACGGGGACATACTCAGCACCTTAGAAATCCAGTAGCAGATGAGGAGTGCACCAACACACATCCACCCAGCCCCCCTCCCCCCAAGAAGATACTCGGGGCTCTTGGTCACATTGCTCAAAAAAGAGTCCCATAGCCAGGTGTGTGGTGCACACCTGTAATCCCAGGACCCAGGAGGCTGAGGCAGGAGGATCACAAGTTGGAAGGCAGCCTTAACAACTTCGTGAGACCCTGACTCAAAATTTAAAAACTAAAAAGGGCTGGGGATGTAGCTCAGTGGTACAGTACCTCTGGGTTCAATCCTCAGTAATGAAAAAATAAAAAAGTGGGGGTGTCTCCCAGACACACACAGACTCAATTCAGATGCACTTCCAGACTCGGTTCACACCAGCACAAACACAGGTCCTCACATTCTGCCACCACGGGACAGATGTCTCTAGGGAGGCTCAGCACCTTTGACCAATAGACACATGAGCATACTTGGCCCTGGGCTCCAGAGTGCCAGAGCTCCACCCCAGAGACAGCAGACACTCCAGCTGCAGCGAGGACCGTGTGCAGGTGCTGCTGACCGTCGGTCCCAGTAGAGTTGTGCTTCACGCCCCAGCTCAGCACGTAGGGGCAGGTACAGTGGCATCTGTGGGGACTGGTTCCAGGAGCCCTGAGGATGGCCAGGTGGTATATGAAGTGGCCTGATGTTCGCACCGGGCCTACGCACAGCCTCATGTGCCCTTGAAATCATCCTGAGATAACTTGTAAGACGTGTCCAAGCTTCGTAGGTAGGACTATGCTGTCGTTGAGGGCATCACAGCAAGAAAGGTCTGGCCAGTGTTCAGAACAGATTTTGTGTTGTTTCAGTGCAGGGCTAGAACCCAGGGCCTTGTGCGTGCTGGGCGAGCGCTCGACCACTGAGCCACATCCCTACCCCCCCCCCCCGGTTTTTCTTTTCTTTTCTTTTTTTTTTTTTTGCAGGCAGGTACCAGGGATTGAGCTCAGGGGCACTCGCCCACTGAGCCCATCCCCAGCCCTATTTTGTGTTTCATTTAGAGACAGGGTCTCACTGAGTTGCTCAGCGCCTCGCTTTTGCTGAGGCTGGCTTGGAACTCGTGATCCTCCTGCCTCAGCCTCCCTAGCTGTGCACAGCTTCCCCAGCCCTTTTTATTTTTTATAAACTCATTAAAGTTGCCCCAGCTGCCCTTGAATTTGCAATCCTCCCATCTCAGTCTCCTAGAAATGTACACGTGTCCCACGGCACCTGGGCCTACTTTTTTTTTTTTTTTTAATGCGGAATGCAGGTCACTAACCTGATTTGCCAGCCTACTGGGTCATGACCCCTTGTTGGCAAACACCATCCTAGGGCTGGGGTGGAGCTCAGCAGTGGCCTGCTGGCCTGGCATGCACCAGGTCCTGGGTTCCTCCCAGCACCACACACACACACAGACACCCCCCCAAAAACTGAAAGCCTCAAGTTCCGTGGCACTGTGGTGAGCACAGTGGTGGCCCCTAGAGTCCCAGCTACTTGGGAGACTGAGGCGGGCCAGGCTGGGCAACAGAGCGGGACCCTATCTCAAAACCAAAAATAATAAATAAATAAAAGAAACCACCAAGAACAGACAGAAGCCTCGGGCGCCAGGACCCCAGCCCTCCTGCGTGCAGGGGCACAGGTGGGTCTGTCTGTGTAAACGAAGCCCCCGTCTCCCTGTCAGGCCGGCACACGGGGGTGGGGAAGGGGTACGTGACAGGACCCGTTGGCATCTGTCTCTGTCCTTGGTGTGGGTGCCAGAGCCCCCTTCCTCCTCCCTCCTTTCCTTTCCTCCTTGTCCCCCACCCACCCCCTGGCTCCATTTCCGCCTCAGCTGTCCCTCCCCCAGTGCCCCTGCTCGACCACTGCACGATGCCCCAAGGAAGCCAGGAGGTGGCTTTGACATGCTGGGGCCCAGGGAGGAGACAGGGCCACTGCCACCTGGTCGCCCCCAAGGGAGTAATTGTTAGGGCCCTGCCCCCCTCAGACGGCCAATCAGCGGGGACCTGACCTCAGAGTTTCGTGAGGCCCCAGCTCGTGCTGGAGGTGGCTGCCAACGCAGGCAGCTGGGTCCCCCCTGGTGATCGGGGTGGCCGGGTGTGGGAGTCTGCTGTCCCCCGCCCTCCCGCTGCCTCGGGTGCCAGGTAGAGGAGCTCTCTGTGGCTGTGTCCCCCGGGGACTCTGGGTCTCGGCTGGCAGTTGCAGTTTCCTTTTGCACCCCGGGAATCAGAGCCCGGCCTGGCTCGCCAGCGGCTTCAGTCTTTGAGGGTCACTGCGCGCCTGAGTCGTGTCCCCAGAGTGCCAGGTGGCAGCCCCACCTGCCAAGTGCCCGCCGGAGCCAGGGGTGCAGATGTTCCTCATCCCCCCTCCAGTCAGTCACCCCCTAACCCCCACGTAACCGAGTCTTGGGTCTCCCCACGCCCTCCCCTCCCCCCAGATGTCTTTCTTGACCTGGTGTCCCCCCCTCTCTCCCCCCCCACCCCCCTCCTTCTCTCTCCTCAGACACCCCCCAGGCCTCCTCCCGAGACGCGGGTCTCCTGGTGTGGGGGGCGGTGGGGGGGACACTGCTGGTGCTGCTGCTTCTGGCTGGGGGGTCCTTGGCCTTCATCCTGCTGAGGGTGAGGAGAAGGAAGAGCCCTGGAGGAGGAGGCGGCATCGAAGACAGGGGGTCCTACGATCCGAAAACTCCCATGTTTGGGAATGGGGTCCCCGTCTTCTGGAAACCACCCTCCCCGGGTCCCATGAGGCCAGAGGGCAAGGACGAGGAGGACGAGGAGGACGAGGAAGAGGCGAAGGCGGAGGAGGGCCTCATGCTGCCTCCGTGCCCAGCGCTCAAGGACGACATGGAGTCCCACCTGGATGGCTCCCTCATCTCGCGGAGGGCGGTTTATGTGTGACCCGGGGACGAGAGACGGAGACAACCTCCCCCGGCCCTGCCAGCCAGGGCCGCCAACTGGCCAGACCGTCTGTCTGTCTGTCTGGCCTGGATCCACGCGCTACCTCCCGCTTTCTGGGATTGGAGGGAAGTGGAATCACGCACTGGACTTCTCCTTTCTCCAGGGCTGCATGGAAAGGGGTGGCCCGGGAGCTCAGTGACTGGGACCCAGAGAGGACCCCCTCAGAGACTGTTTTTGGCCCTAGCCTGCCTCTAGCCCCGTGACACTCAGGAGTTAATAAATGCCTTGGAGGAAAACTTCAGGGGTGTCTTGTAGTACATTAGACCCCCTCTTTGGGTCCTGGGGAAAGAGTGGGTGGGATGGGGACTACCCAGTCCCAGGGGTTGGGAAAAACTGTACTGGGCCCCTTAGGGGGCAGCCTGTGGGGGCTCAGATCACGTGGACGCCCAGGACCCCTGAGGCTAGTGGGACTAGGAATTGGGTCACAGGCTTTGGGGCCTAGAGGCTGCAGTGTTGGGACTTCTGGGTCTCCGGATGGAAGTGGGGTGGCCAAACTGGCTGAAGGCCCAAATTCACCGGGAAAGCTAGGCTGAGTACCTGGACTCCTGGGCCCTTGGGGGACAGGGGGATTGGCAGGAGCCAGGGTCCCAATGTCCTGCGTTCAGAGAGAATGTGCGGGCAGAGGGCTGCGGTCTAACTGCAGGCAGCCCAGCCAGGACCCCCTCTGGGTTGCTGAGGACCTGAAGAAGGGAGGGCTACTTGCCCTCTGTTTTGGGGGTCCTTGAGGCTACAGGGCAGCTGTGGTGCTGGGGATCCTTGGAAAGCCCACCTCCCGGCCCTCCCAGTGACCCTTTCCAGCCACCTTCCTCCCCCCTTGCTCAGGGCCCAGCCCCAGGGGAGTCTCAGTGATTCAAAGTGGCGTCCCTCCCACTGCCCAGGTGGAGAAGGTCCTCCGCTGCCAGGCTCAGTTTGAGAGAGGAAGGGGCAGACTTACGGCACTCAGCTCTGGAGCCTCTGTGGCCTCCCGGAAAAGGGAGCTGGTGTCCAGATCTGCCTCCCAAGACTGTCGTGAGATCCAGCAAGGACACCTGCAGGATGCCCTCTCGGGGCTGAGGGCCAGCAGGGGACGGACATGCTGCACTTTTTCAGCCTGAGTGGACTCCGCGTGTTCTGCAGCGCCTGGCCGGGCCGTGCTGGAGACACAGGGGACCTGGACGCGCCTGGCCCGCACTGCCCTTCGCCCAGTCGGTGAAGACAGAAGAGCCGAACCTGAGGATGACGGTGTGTGTGGATTGAGCAGATCACTCCTTGTCCCCGCGCTCTGAAGCCTTCTAGAGGATGCCCTGCTGGATGCAGACAGCATCCCCTGGGAAGCTCCCTCTCCTCATCTGGAAGGTGGGGTTGGTGTCACCGGGACACCGTAGGACTCTTCCACCCTTGGGCCTTCCTCTGTTGATGGTCTACCCCACCCCCTGGGAACAGGAGGGCCGCGTTTTCTCTCATCTGGCATGTCACTGAGTGTCCATTCCAAGCCTGCTGTAGACATCTGGCAAACACCTGCTGTGCACCTGACCTTGGGGCTCGGCTCAGGGTTGCAGGGGAAATTGGCAAACAGGTCATTGCTTCAATAACTACTAGGAGAGGTGGATGTGGCCAGTGAGAAGGGAGAATTGGAAGTGAGAATAGGAAGTACTGTGCAATAAGGGAGCCCTGGGGACATGAACTCTCAAGCCCTCCTGCTAGTCTGGAGGAGATGCCATTCCTACCATGAATGAGGGTCTCTGCTCCTGGTCCCAGGATCTTCTCGGCTTCTCTACCTTTAAATTGATCCTCCATCTTCTTCCTTCATCTCTCTCCCCTCCACTTTGCCCAGCTTCACAGTCTCCTTCCTATTCTTAAGAAGAACCATGAGGCAGGGCTGGGGTATAGCTCAGTGGTAGAACACTTGCCTAGCATGAGCAAGGCCCTAGATCTAATCCACAGCAGTGCAACAAACTAACCCACAAAGCTGCCTCAGGACCTTTGCACTGGTGGATCCTCTGACTGTAGCACACTCAGATACTCTCATGGCTCACCCTGCTCCTTCAGGTGTTTGCTCAAATGTCCCCTCACAGTACATCCCTGTCTGCACTCTCATCATTCTTTATCACCTTCCTCACTCTGAATTTTTATCCTCTGTCACTGATCCCAACCTGGCATAAAAGATGTCACATTGTTTGTTTGCTTTGGCCTCCCCGCCCAACCAGAACTTAAGTTTCATGAGGATGGAGACCAGGCGTGTGTGTTTCAACGCTCCTCCTCCCAAGCCCAGCTCATGACAAACGTTCCTTACTTGCACTCAGCAAGGATGAGCTGAATGGCACAGTGTCCCCTTCCCATGGGAAAAGAGGAAGGCAGGTGGGAGGTGACTCAAGGGTGGGCCTGGGATGAGGAGCTGGGGCTTCCTCCCAGAGCTCCCCTCACACTGTCCTTCTCCTTGCAGAAATGCCTAACACGGCAGGCGCAGGAGCCACGGGTGGCATCATTGGTGGCATCATCGCTGCCATCATCGCTACAGCTGTCGCTGCTACGGGCATCCTCATCTGTCGGCAGCAGCAGAAGGAGCAGAGGCTGCAGGGGGCGGAGGAGGAGGATGAGTGAGTGGCGCGGGTCCTGGGGGGTGAGAGGATGGCAGAATTGGAGGGCACTGGGTGGGGGCTGTGAGTGGGAGAAATCATCCATGATGACTTGGTGACACAGACTTCCGTGAGGTGGGAAGGAAAGTGACAGTACTGCGGAGAAGTCATCGGAGCCCAGGTTCCTGCTACCTTGTTGCTCCACTTTCCCTAGAGCATGGTTTTCATTTGCGTCCCAAGATGGCTCCCTCCTCATCCACCACGGTCTTTGCACAGGATCACCAGACACTGCCGTCCTGGCCTCAAGGCCAGCATTGTGGCCAGTGAGAAGGGAGAATAGAGGGCAACTGGCTTCCCTGTAGAGAAACCGAGCAAGTTACCCATTACTTCCCATTGGTCAGAACTTAGTCACATGGTTGCCCCAGCTGCAAGGGAAGCTGGGAAATGTAGTTCTTATTTTTTTTATTTTTTGCAGTGCTAGGTATGGAACCCAAGGGCACTCGACCATGGAGCTACATCCTCACCCCATTTTAGTTTTTTATTTTGACAAAGGGTCTTGCTAAGTTGAGGGTCTCACTAAATTACTGAGGCAGACTTAAAATTGAAATCCTCCTGCCTCAGCCTGCCAAGTTGCAGGGATCATGGGCCACCACCCAGGCCATAGTCTTTATTCTGAGTGGCCATGTGTCCAGCTAATTCCTCTATTAGGGTGAGAAAGAGGGAGACTGGACACTGGGGGGAACTGGCCTTGCTCTGTAAAGCGCTTCTGTGCCAGTGAGATTCATTTTATATGTGTGACCCCAGCAAAGTCTCGCACCAACCATGAATCCAACCAGCATTCAGAAATACTAGCACTGGAAGGTAGGGACACAATGATGAGACACATTTTTTTAAAGGGTCCACACAAGTGAATAGATCATGGAAAAAGTTTTTCAGAAGGAGCTAATGATGCTTATTTTGTGGGAGAGGAAACAGTTTCAGAGAGTGGACATTCCACTGCTGAAATTCATCCCACAAACATTTTTGTGGCCAAATGTTTCTCAAATAACACTGTCAGTACAGTGGGGACAGTGGAATGCACATTCCTCCTGGGTGTGGTGGCGCACACCTGTGGTCCTAGCAACTCAGGAGGCTGAAGCGGGAGGATCACAAGTTCAAGTTCAGCCTCTGCATTAAAGCAACCCAGCAAAACCTTATTTCAAAATGAAAGAAAAGGGCTGGGGATGTGACTTAGTGGTTAAGTGGCCCCTGGGGTTCAATCCCTGGCACCAAAAAATAAAAAATAAAGATAAAAAGCAAATTCTTGGACCTGTCCCCAAAGCTACTGGATCAGAACTTTTGGGAAAGGACTCAGAATCCATATGCATAACAAACTCCCCAAGTTATTCTGGTGCAGTGGAGGGACGCAGGACATGAGCATGGTCTTCATCCTCCTGTCCGTTCAAACCAACAGCTGCTGTTGGTCTTCTGGGTGCCCCACCAGTGTGAGCCCAGGGTGCCCTAGCCCTGGCCTCCTGGGGCTCACAGTGGGGAGGAGACAGACCTGTGACAGACGCATGGCCAGAGAGGCACAGGACAGTAAACAGGTTGCTCTGGTCTGTGAGAGAGGATGAGGGACTTGGTTGAGGATGAGGGAGCATTGCGTTCCTTTATTCCTTCTCTTGATCTTTACTGTTTCAGTTCTGAGGATTCATTCTCATCTTTTAAATAAACCTTCTCTGAATCCTGGGGATCTGGGGACACTGACGATGACCCAGGTCTTGTCCTTTTCTCCCAGAGCTCACAGTAGGATGTGGAAATTGAACACATCACAAATAACATTTTCAAGTACCAATTCAGGCATTTCCCTGAGGGGCTGTACAGCTAGATGTGACCCACGTTCCTGATCCATCAGGAGAAGCAGGGATTCTTCCTGAAAGAGGAGGACTTCCTTGGATGAGGAGGGGTTCACCTGGCAACAGGGAGGGGCCACAGAAAGGGAGGTCCAGGCAGAGGAAGCCAAGCACAGCCACCCTCCGGGGCAGGGGCTTTCTGAAGTCTCGGCTTCCACCTCACCCACCTCCCACCCCGCAGCCTGGAAGGACCTCCCTCCTACAAGCCACCCACCCCAAAGGCAAAGCTGGAGGAGCCAGAGATGGTGAGCACTTCCCCTGGAATCCAAGCTGTCCCCACTCTTTACCTTCCTTTCCCCACGGGGTGGGCTTGCGGGAGAAGCCCGTGGCCCCAGACCTGCCCTCTCCCTCCTGCCACAGCCCTCCCAGCTCTTCACTCTGGGGGCCTCGGAACACAGCCCACTCAAGACTCCCTACTTTGACGCTGGCATCTCGTGCGCTGAGCAGGTAGGAGCTCAGGAGAAGACAGATGGGTTTAGGGTCTTGGTAGCAAGGGTTGAGGGTCAGGCCCTGGCCCTTAAGGGTGACAACCCAAATCAGGCTGTGTCTCTGGCTGGATTGACTACTCTAAGATGTGTTCAAGATTCAGTGAAGGAGGTCAGGAGTAAAAGGCCGACCACACGAGGGTAAAGTCGTCTGAGCAATGCAGACTGGCTCAGAATCTCCGTTTTCCAGGTACTGCCTGGAGCTGGGTCAAGGCAGTAGAGTTGCTCCCCCTCACTGGTCTCCTGGAGGTCAGGGGTCAGATTGCAGCTGAGTCAAGCTGAGGTTCAAGGAGCTGTTTAAGGCTCAAGGTTAAATAGTTAAAGGCAAGACTGAGGTGAAGGTTCATGGGTAAAGACAGGAATCAAGTGGCAAAGGTCCCTGAGGTCCCTGTTCTGGGCTTTGGGTTGGAGATGGGCTTATGATTGTCCCAGTACAGCATCAGCTCAGAGAACCGGCTCAGCAGGAGCGGAGTCAGGTCTGATTGGCATAGGGGAGAGGGGGTCAGGATCTGTGGGTCAAGGGGTGGATTGGGACTCTCATGCCCAGGAGATGACCTTGAATTCCAACTCCCTCCCCACCTCCAGGAAATGCCTCGATACCACGAACTGCCCACCCTGGAAGAGCGGTCGGGACCACTGCTGTTGGGGGCCACAAGCTTGGGGTCCCCTGTGCTGGTGCCTCCAGGACCACCTACTTTGGAGGAAGTTTCCCTGGATCTAGACGAGGATGAAGAGGAGGAAGAGGAGGAGGAAGACTATCTGGACAAGATCAACCCCATCTACGATGCCCTGTCCTACCCCAGCCCCACTGATTCCTACCAGGGCAAAGGCTTTGTTGTGTCCAGAGCCATGTATGTGTGAGTCACCAAGGCTCTGACCTCTCACTGCACCTGATCCCTTAGCCTTCTGCCAGGGATCTAGTGCCCCTGACCGATGGCCAAGCCACGTCAGTTAACACAAGTGCATCTCACCAACCATTTCCACCTTAGTGGCTTCACTATGACCTCTAGCCCATGATCTCTGTCCCAGAGAAACCTGCCATGACCAAGGAAACTTGATGACTTCATCTCCTGAGGCAGAGGGTAGGGAGGATATATTTCTGCACAAACTCTGACCCCAAGGACTCTTCTGAGACTGTGACCTTAGACCATACCACTCCCCCCACAAAGACTCCACACCTCAGATTGGTCTCAGGCAGTGAAGTCCCAATAGGTCTGCGATGGTGGGCATTACCGGTTCCCTGCTGCATAGACCTGAGCCCTCCAGGCAGCAGAGCACCACTTGTCCTCTCCTACCTATTCCCCAAAGGTGGGAGGGAGGGAATTCCCCAGGCCAAGGCAGAGCTCTCCCATCCCCCTCCTCCTGCAGGCAGGAGTCTCAGGGCCCAAACCCTCCCCTGAGCCCACCACCCCATTCCTGTCTATAGAGCATGATGCCCCAGCCCATTGCTAGATGGGGTGAGCCTCCTGCAGTGTGCCTTGACAGCCCAACGCGGGGAGGAGCATTTACTGTTACCTGGAAGACTACTGAATCCCTTTACCCCTGCCGGGTTGGAAAGTGGGTCACCTGGGTTGGGGGTAGAAGATATTGTATTGTTTTGTAAACTAAAATTTCCTACAAACTATGAATTTATACTTTGAACAGGTCTTGCGTTTTCTGTGGGCAGTGAAGGGGGCGGGGATGGGAGTAAGGAGATGATGGATAATGGAAGGAGAGGGCAGAAGTCCTGGGCATGCAGTGTGGTAATGAAAAGAATTAGGGCAGCAGCAGTCCAATGGTGATGGGTAGAAATAAACGCAGCAAAGGTTTAAACATGAGTAATTAGGTAAGGGGTTTAGTTTTAATGGCAAAGCGGCAAGTAAACAGACTCGGGGCATAATTACAAATCTAACAGGAGCCGGAGGCTTAACGGATAATCCGCCTGAATGAGCAAGAGGCAGAATAAAGAATAACGGAGAGACGGACGGTGGACAGGAGCGGGCGGAGCCGAACACGATGGTTAACTAGGGATGGGCCAGGAGAACGGTGAACGGGAACAGGCAGAAGCGGGTTGAAGAAAGTTCAGGCAACGAAGCTGAAATTAATGGGGCGAAGGCACGATGGGTAATGGGACGGTAATGAATGGGCCAAAGATAGAAGCCGTAGTGACGCAGGGAGCCGACGGCATGATGGGTAACGAAAGGGGTGGGTCCAGGGCAAAAGTAACGTTAAGGAGTAATGGCATTGTGGGTAACGAGCAGGGCAGGGTTCACAGAACAGGTTAGCATTCTCCCGGGGCACTGTGGGAAAGACCTGCACTTCCGGTTTTCGGTGAGCGACTCTGGAGTAGAGAGAGTGCCCCTTTGCCGCGGTGCCTGGTGGGACGCGAGGCCTGACCTTGCTGCCTAGCAGCCCCTGCCGCGCAACCCACCTTTACCTGTGTCCTTCGACCCTGGTAAGTTAGCCAATGAGAGAACAAAAGTGAGACGTCATCAAGATCAGCCCTCTGTTCACCACAGACACAATCAGGATGCTCCAAGGGCCAAAGCCGACCAATTACCATAGCGCTTGCAGCGGGGCGGAGTCGAAAGAGGGTGGTCCTTCAGGAAAGAGGCGGGACGAAGCGTCAATGGGCGTTGCAAAGTGCGCAGTACAGACCAATTGGTGGGCTAGCCCCGGAACCCGCGGCATCGGGAGCCAATAGGCGTGGGTGCCGCAAACCAATAGGAAGGACCAGAAGCTCTGCTGGGCCGCTTGCGTGTGGAAACCAATCGAAAAGGACGTTCGGGAGAGGTGGGTGGGACTTCCAGCCACGACTCCAATTGCAAGGCCGGGCGCCGAAGACGGTGGGTGGAACCTAGTGCTCACTGAACCAATGGGTCAAACAGGGCGGAGTGACGGTGGCGGCGGCGGCGGCAGTGAGTTCGGTTGCGCGTGGCGCACGGGGTGGGAGCGGAGCCCAGGCCGGGAGCAGGCGCCACCGCCAGTGAGAACTTGGGTCTGGAGCAGGGCCGGGGTTCACTGGGGCTGAGTCCGGGGCGCGTGGGCCCTGACCTCTGCCCTTTGACCTCTCCCCTCGCAGGCCACCATGGGGAACGTGTTGGCCGCTAGCTCGCCGCCCGCAGGGCCGCCGCCTCCACCTGCGCCGGCCCTCGTGGGGCTGCCGCCACCTCCGCCCTCGCCGCCGGGCTTCACGCTGCCGCCGCTCGGAGGCGGCCTTGGTGCTGGGGCCAGCGCGGGTCGAGGTTCGGACCGAACCGCGGGGGCTGCCACCGTCAGTGCCGCAGGGGTCGCTGACAACGGGGCCTGCGACTGCCTGCCCAACCCCGGCACGTTCGAAGAGTGCCACCGGAAGTGCAAGGGTGAGGGGCGAGGGGCCTCGGCCGGTGATCCTGATGCCCTGAGCTCGGGGAGGGGTGCGGGGCCGGCGCGGAGAGGACACTGGGGACCTTGGGAATTGGCGCGCACCATTGGAGTCACTCAACAGAGCGTTAGGTGTTGACGTTGGGAGCAAATGATGGAAAGTTGGACTTGGGCATAGAACGATGCTCCAGATGGTGGAACCGCGGGGTGGACTGCTGTAGCTTGGAGAGAAGCCGTAGACAGCCCTGGAGCTTCAGGATCAGTCACAGCAGACTTCTAGTGTGATCGGGAAGGGAACTGAGGCCCAAGGTCACAGTGTCAGCAAGGTTCCCGTGAGGGGTGGGGCCCAAGGCTTTTGGGGTCCTGGCTTGGAGTAATGATGGTAGTAATAGTGATGGAGACCTATTGAGTTCTGTTCTGCTGTTTAGCTTATGGTAATTCATTAAGTCTTTGGAACAGTTCCATTTAGTGCGTTCTCCCATCTTACAGATGATGAGTTTGACATAAAGTAACTTGGTTAAAGTCACGCAGATGATGGCATTGGGTGTTGGACACTGGCAAAGTTCCTGGCCCTGTCCACTAGACATTAGTGCCTCCCTAACTGGTTGTGATACTTTGGAGATCTTCTGATGTGGGTCTCTGGAGAGAGCTGGGTGGTAAAGGAGAGTTGACCGTTGGTGTGTCATTTGTCGAGTGGAGTGTGACACCAATTCTCTCCTCCAGAGCTGTTTCCCATTCAGATGGAGGGTGTCAAGCTTACAGTCAACAAAGGGTTGAGTAACCATTTCCAGGTGAGCCCTCCAGGTACCTTTACCCACCAGAGGTCATCACAGCCATCCCCTGCATCCGCACAAGCAAATTCCCTTACTGTCCCTAAAGGGCTGGGCTCCTTCGTACTTGAAAGAACTCAGAGACACTATGCCAGGCTGAATACTCAGTGGGGCCACTGGTAGGGTTTTGGGACAAAGAATCAAGAGATGCCCCTGGCTTCATAGCATGCGGGCAGGAGTGATGTGCCAGGTGTCAGCCACCTGCAGCCCACCCTTTTTGAGTCTCTAATCTAGTTAGGTCATACCTCCTAGTCTGTCCTTTATCAGTGGTCAGGTGTAACCCAGGGCCTCACCTTGGCTAAGCATGCACTGTACCACTAAGCTACCCCCACCCCAGTTTTCATTCCCTGCCCAGAAATCCTGTCTTTTTCCCCTCCGTTGGGGAAGCCAGACTGGCAAGTACCCCTCAACTTTCCCTTTTCTCCCAGGTGAACCACACAGTAGCCCTCAGCACAATCGGGGAGTCCAACTACCACTTCGGGGTCACGTATGTGGGGACAAAGCAGCTGAGTCCCACAGAGGTGAGGTTCCTTTTGCCATCTGCTTGAACAGATATGAAGCCAAACGCCCGGCTCAGACCTCAGTGCTGGGAATGGGGACTGGAGCTCTCCAAGAGGTGTTGGAACGTGGGCAGTCCCTTCTCCAGCAACTTCCCTGAGCCCCTGCTCTCTCTCTCTCTCTCTCTCTGGTCTTGTGCTGAGTAATGCTGGAGGGGGGACCTGGGTGATCACAACACCAGACAGTGATGGCCCATGGGCAGGGCTGGGTATCAGGTTGTGGGATTTTAAATGCCAGGTGCTTGGATTTTTCTCTAGGGGGTGCTAGAGAGCCGTGGAACATTTGAACAGGGGAAAGATGATCATCACATTTGTGCTTCAAACATTCCCTTGGACTGCCATGGGGAGGCAGGATATTGGGGTGGGGGTGACTGTAGGTCTGGACTGAGGGAGACAGTACTCATTTAGGTCCCTGTTTCTATTACCTATTTCCCTTCAATAAATTCATTTATTCAGAAAACTTTGTTGTAATTCTGTTGTATGCCTAGCTTTGTGCTGGGATACAGTAGTGACTGAGACACCCGTGAGACTCATAGTCTAATAGAGTGGGACACATCTCTTCCCTGAGAGTAATGATCCAGGGTGGGCACAAAATGGGGGAATTCAAAGGCTGTGGGGACCCAGAGAGAGGCCCTAACCTGGCCCAGGAGCTGAGGGGGCGCTTTATGGAGGAGGGAGCCTCGTGCTGAGCCTCTGGCTCCAGATTCAGGGCTTGGGCCTCCTGATGACATGCTAAAGTGCTGCCTTCCAACCTCTAACCTGCCCTCTCCCCACCGCAGGCGTTCCCAGTGCTGGTGGGTGACATGGATAACAGTGGCAGCCTCAACGCTCAGGTCATTCACCAGCTGGGCCCTGGCCTCAGGTCCAAGATGGCCATCCAGGTGAGTGGGGGCGAGCACCGCCTACTCCTGGGCCAGCCAGGTGCTCCTGGCACAGCTGCTGCCCTCACACTCCCCTCCCCACAGACCCAGCAGTCGAAGTTTGTGAACTGGCAGGTGGATGGGGAGTACCGGGGTTCCGACTTCACAGCAGCCGTCACCCTAGGAAACCCAGACGTTCTCGTGGGTTCAGGTAAGAGGCAGAAGCCTTGGAGGGTGGTTGCAAACCCCTGTCCCAGCCTTAGCAAATCTGTTTGCTTCTCTGGACCTGCTTTTCCACCCTGTGAGAAGTGATGGGAGGGACTGGCTCTGAAACCGGCCAGGCTGGGGTGGCTTGGTGGTGGAGTGCTTGGCCGCCACTCTGGACTGGGACGTGGGCCTTGGTTTCCTCCTGGGTGGACCTGGGCTGCCTCTGAGCCAGCGGGTGGTTTCATAGTTGGTGTCCCGTTGACAGGAATCTTAGAGCGACGCTAGCTATAGGTAGATACCCAAGTCACGTGAGTTGCTTTTGATGCTTTAACTCGGGGGGCTGGGGGCTCCATGTTGGTTCTGGGGCACAGAAAAGGTCACTAGATGACAGAGGCCACGTGCAGTTGTGAAGGGAGGTGGGGGCTGAGGATTCCTGTCTGGGTGGGGTAGGGGCAGGGACTGTGGCTCTGTCTGTATTTCTAGCCTCTCCCTCTTGGTTCCCTTTTTTAGGTGACTTGTGTGTGTCTCGTCTCGTGGGTACCTAGAGAGTGTGTGGGGGGTTCTGGGTTTAAGGTGGGGATTAAAGAAAACTGTCCAGCCTCCTGGACCTTCCATTCCAACAGGGCAGACACAGGGAAGGAGGGGCAGGCGAAGGTGACAGATAGGCCTCTTTCCATAGGTGACATAAGAACCGTGTGAGGGAAGGAACCAGGCAGGTGGCAGGGAGGGTGGTTCGGCCTAAGGAACCAGAAGTGCAAAGGCCCTGAGGCAGGACCCTTGAAACAAACT